ATAATTAATGTAGTAATTTATGAAATCTTGAATTTTAATAAACTAAACGTTCACCAAAATATATATGTATATATACATATATATATATATTCAATTGAATATATATATATATATATATATATATATATATTCAATTTATTCAGCAAAAAGCATGGATTCAAGATTGAAGTCACGTGTTTGGACTTTGCTGTTCTGTAACATGTCTTGCACTATTTAAAGATAAAATGCAATCATAGTTTGCCTAGTTGAGTAACTGCTGAGCCCCACATTAAATAATCGGGAATTATCCATTGGCATGTCAGAGCAAAACAACTGCTGTGAGTGACCAAATGTCCGCAGGTGACCAAGCATAGTCAAGTTTCTTGAATGTTTCTTGAATGAACTTTTCATGTGTGGAAACCTGTCATTTGGTACTTACACATCCGTCGAGCTTTTTTGATTTTCACTTTGCACAGAACTTTAAAATTCTTGTCCCTTTACTACTGCAGGTGACTGCATGTCGTATACAACAAAATGTCTTTTTTAATTTGACACACCTGATACATTTTTAAAATTTTAATTCTTGGCGTCCTACAATTTTCTAAATTTTTACGTATATTGAATTTGATTGAATTAAGGATTGTTCAGTCGCATTCTTAATTATTTTTTTCTTCTTCTCCTATAATAGAATTTGCCAAATAAAACATGAAAACTAAATTAGTTCTTCTCCATAAGGCTACTGCTACATTTTGACGTTGGATATCAATAAGAAATATATAATAAAATTTGAGCTGCATATTTTGTATAAATAACAATCTTTTATTGTTTGTTTTTTCATCAAAATTTAAAAAATTGAACAAATCATTTTTAAAAAATGCGTCCGCAATTTTTTCAACGTAACGCTCCGGCTACATTTTGAAGTTGGTTATCAATAAAAAGAAAACCACAAAACGAAATTTAAAAATTTTTAGGAGCCTCTTTTTAAGCTGATACACTTTTACTATCAGAAATTTGTTTGAAAAAATTCTGTTAAAAAATAATTTTGTCATGAAAAAACGAAGTAGGCCAATACGAATGTTGCTCGGGACTGGGCACATTCGCTCATGGCATTTTTTAGAATCTAGTTTTTCTCAAAAACGAATGCTGATAATAGTTTTTAAAGTCGACAATAGATAGTAAGGGGATTTTTAAGAAGTTACTGAGAGTACGGTCAAGATCGGATGAGAAACACGGACCTGGCAACAAAAATGTTTGGTAGAGCACACAAAGTTTATTCTATTATTACGTCAATAAATAAAAAATGATAAAACGTGTTTATTCATATGTACACGCACACATATACACAATCACACACACACATACACACACAATCACACACACATACATACACACACATATATATATATACATATATAAAATTAGGGTTGAGACCGTCGCAAAAACAATTGTTGAGAAATATCACTGCTGAAAATGCAGTTATATTTCTTAAAATTTACGATCAACCGTTAGAAACATTTTATTAAAATTAAAAATAATTTGTTTCATAGTTTCAATTTTAAACAGACTCAATTTTGTTGATAACAATTTACTAAGACAAATTGAAAAATTCGAATATAAGTTGATAAACACTAATAAATCGGTGGAATTTATTAAATATTGTCAAGAATTCGGTCTTCTATATATATATATAATTCAAAATACTCTCATTGTTGTTTCTGTGATAAAAATGTGACAGGAGTGCAAACGTAATTTCATTTCACTTTACAATAATCTATTTAATAATAGTAAATTAATTACCGTATGTTAAAAAAATATTTTTCGTTTTTGCTATTTATCGCTTTTAGGTACATCTCTACGCGTCATAAACAAGCCAAAAAGTAATAATAACAACAATAATAACATAGATATTATTGTTATCGTATTTTTATACCCAACCAATCAAATTGATATGATTATAACAAATTATTATGACGATAATAAATTGAGATACGAACCTACCTTCAATGGAATAGACAGCTGACATTTTCTATTGCAAAATTTTCATTCCAAAATTTCAACCAACGACTGAATCGCTTTGCGGAAAAAACTAAGTTTAAATTATTACTATACTTACTGTATACAATTTTACAAGCTAAATACTTCGTGTATGTATAACTAATTTGCCTATATATATATATATATATATATAACATATATTAACAAATATCTATACACATACATACATAAGGATACATAATATATATATATATATATATATATATATATATATATATATATATATATATATATATATATATGTATGTATGTATGCACACACATACACACCACAAACACACACATGTATATATATATATATAATGTATATATATGTATATTACTTATGTGTGTATGTTTATGTGGTGTGCGTGTATTTGTGTACGTGCATATACTGGATATTAATAAAAGGGAACCTTTTTCCTGTAGCACCTGACAACTAATTTTGAAACTGAATACCTTTAATATGACTCTTACACATTAATTAAATCATTTATCTCACACTAACCTAATTAATACATGAATCAATTCAAAAAATTATTTTTAATAAATAATAATATTAATATGCAAAATGGGGCATATCTTTTGCCAGGTGATGCCCCACCTCGACCAGCACAGGTTGGTCCGGAGGCTGGCTCCCTTCAACAACGCGACAACCCTGCCCAACTTCGATGTCACCGACGTCAGTCCGGAAGAAACCGTCGATGCCTCCTGCTACTCTGGTCTCCTCCTAGGTCATGATGATGTTTGGAGATGATGATGATGATGTTTGGTGATGATGATGATGATGTTTGGTGATGATGATGTTGAAATGAAGATGATGATGATGACGATGACAATGATGATGTTTGGTGATGACGATGATGACGATGATGATGTTGGAATGAAGGTGATGGTGATGATGATGATGTTTGGTGATGATGATGATGATAATGTTTGGTGATGACGATAATGATGATGTTTGGTGATGATGATGATGTTGGAATGAAAATGATGATGACGACGATGATGATAATGATGATGGTGATGATGATGTTTGATAATGACGATGATGGTGTTGGAATGAAGATGATGATAATGATGATGACAATGATGATAATGACAATGATGATGATGATAATAATAATGATAGTAATAATAATAATAATAAGGATGATGATGATGATGGAGTGAAGATAACGTTGATGAAGCGTTGATGAAGATAAAATAATTGGTTAGAGCATCTAGCTCTGTTTTTCAGCTTAATTAAAGACAAAGTGATTCCCGCATATCATATCATCAGCTCTATCTAGAACCTCCATGTACGCTGTACTCTACAGTGCAGATATGCTTCAACTATTTGTCGAATGTTAAACAGTCGTTGAACAACAAGAAAATGGCGCTATAAAAATTACAATAAATTTTTGATAGAAAGAGTGCTGACCAACCGACTGACTGACTGATTGATTGATTTTAAAATGATTCACAGACGTTCAGTAATTAATTAATTAATTAATTAATGAATTGTTGGATTGAAATGTAGCCCTGACGACAAACGCAGGCTTCCTCAACTTAACGACGAACAGCTTCAACATGTTCGTGTGGTCGAAGGCTGGCATGCGAAATCCAGTCAGCTTCTTCTTTCTGGTCCTCGCAATTAACCAGGGCATCTACAGCCTGGCCTTCCTTCCAACTGTTGCCTTCCACAAGTGCCTCGGCAAGAATTTCCTGACACTAGGTGCATCTCTGTGATGTTGGTCTTCATGCCGTTTAGTTGACTGTTGTCATATTGTTTAGTTTTGTTTATACAAATTTTTGTCTGTGATGTTTGTTTGCGTGTGATATTTGTTTGTTTAGATGTGATGTTGTTTGGATGTAATGTTTGTTTGTTTAGATGTGATGTTGTTTGGATGTAATGTTTGTTTGTTTGGATGTGATGTTTGCTTGTTTGTGATGTTTGTTTGATTGTGATGTTTGTTTGGATGTGATGTTTGCTTGTTTGGACGTGATGTTTGCTTGTTTGGACGTGATGTTGTTTGGATGTAATGTTTGTTTGTCTGTTTGTGATGTTTGTTTGTGATGTTTGTGATGTTTGTTTGTGTTGTTTGTTTGGATGTGATATGATGTTTTATTTGTTGAAGAGGTTTTTGGCTTAATTTTGTTTTTACGTTATTTTGCGGTGATTTCATGAGCCATGTTTGTCTCCTTTGCCATCATTACCTTTTTTTCATACATAACATTTATTTATTTATTTTATTTATTTATTTACACATTTTATTAACCACAAAAAAATGGCTTAGAGACCATACAAGCTTATTAAGTTTTATAGG